AAACAGCTTTGTTCTATGCTAAATGGAATGAAAAGGTAACCCATGCACTGATTGAAGCTGATGCTGATGTCAATATAACTGATAAAGATGGCAAAACAGCTTTGTTCTGTTCCATATACAATGAAAAGGTAACCCATGCACTGATTGAAGCTGGTGCTGATGTCAATATAGCTGACAAGGATGGCAAAACAGCTTTGCTCTATTCTGTATGCAATGAAAAGGTAACCCATGCACTGATTGAAGCTGGTGCTGATGTCAACATAACTGATAAGGATGGCAAAACAGCTCTGTTCTATTCATTATACAATGAAAAGGTAACCCATGCACTGATTGAAGCTGGTACTGATGTCAACATAACTGATAAGGATGGCAAAACAGCTTTGTTTTATGCTAAATGGAAAGAAAAGGTAATCCATGCACTGATTGAAGCTGGTGCTGATGTGAACATAACTGATAAGGATGGTGAAACAGTTTTGTTTCATGCTGTACGGAATCATCATGAAAAGATAGCCCATGCACTGATTGAAGCGCGTGCTGATGTCAACATAACTGATAAGGATGGCAAAACAGTTTTGTTTCATGCTGTACGGAATCATCATGAAAAGTTAGCGCATGCACTAATTGAAGCACATGCTGATGTCAACATAACTGATAAGGATGGCGAAACAGTTTTGTTTCATGCTGTACGGAATCATCATGAAGAGGTAGCCCATGCACTGATTGAAGCGCATGCTGATGTCAACATAACTGATAATGATGGCGAAACAGTTTTGTTTCATGCTGTACGGAATCATCATGAAAAGGTAGCCCATGCACTGATTGAAGTGCATGCTGATGTCAATATAGCTGACAAGGATGGCAAAACAGCTTTGTTTCATGCTGTATGGAATGAAAAGGTAACCCATGCACTGATTGAAGCTGGTGCTGATGTCAACATAACTGATAAGGATAGCAAAACAGTTTTGTTCTATTCTGTATACAATGAAAAGGTAACACATGCACTGATTGAAGCTGGTGCTGATGTCAACAAGACCGATAAGGATGGCAAAACAGCTTTGTTCTATTCCGATTGGAACGAAAAGGTAACCCATGCACTGATTGAAGCTGGTGCTGATGTCAACATAACTGATAAGGATGGCAAAACAGCTTTGTTCAATGCTAAATGGAATGAAAAGGTAATCCATGCACTGATTGAAGCTGGTGCTGATGTCAATATAACTGATAAGGATGACAAAACAGCTTTGTTCTATTCTGTATCAAAATACAATGAAAAGATAACCCATGCACTGATTAAAGCTCGTGCTGATGTCAACATAACTGATAAGGATGGCAAAACAGCTTTGTTCTATGCTAAATGGAATGAA